GTTTCAGAAATCCTCAATGTGTGATCTTTGTTGAGGGTAAAAACCAGATTTCATGCTCATATGAAAATAATAGGAAAAATTATAGTTTGTATATTTCAGCCCTTAGAAAATGAGGAACCGACACGACTCCTTCGTACCTTGCCGCACTGTACCGACAACTACGCCATTTTTCAATCTCAAAGACCTTATTTTTACGATGTTTGCTTTAAGAATATTGATACTTTGTTTACGCCCTCGTTTAGAAACTTTTTAACCTGTCACAGAGTTACGACCCCATTACGAAACTTTACCTATCGAATTTCGAACTCTACTTGTTGTCTCTTTTTTTGAGAAGCTTATTATCAATTCTCTGTAGATGGTTAATAGAGAGGAGAGATTAAATTTGAAAATGTTTCCGATCAGTTAGTTCTAATAATTTGTTTATCCATGTTTTAAAGCTTATAAATCTGATTTCTAACTCTGAAACATGGATTGGGAGCGTATGTAAATTAAGATTTCAGAAGAATATCTCTGAAATTAGAGGTGTGTGACGCTTATGCATTACTTTGTACTTTCTACGAGATACGTGCCCAACCAATTTGAAGACTGTAAACGTTAATTATTTATAATTTGCTTCTATGCTGCGTTACCTGACATCCATACATTTTACTATACTAAAGGTAACTGTCTAAGTACATAAAATCTGTCTTATCCCTTTTAATTTTTTGTAAGACATACCTTTATTCGTTAATTATTTTTTGGGCGGATGATGGTTAGAATTCTTCTAAAAACCGGGATGTGTTTAAAAGAAACAACTTTCCACCCATGTCATCATTCTTGATTTAATAACCTTAATAATTGAAATCAGTCAAATAGTTAAGGACGAATTAAAGGATGAGAAAGCACAACACAGAATGGAAAATTACATTAGCACGGTCTTCAGTCCTTAATACACGAGAGTCTCAAAGCTTCTTTAGTGTGGGCATTGAATTCCACCGGACGTACGAAGCATACAGGAACATGTCTCTTATTGAAAGCCGTGGTAGATGCAGACATGTGAGAGAAACAGACTGAAATGAAACTGCATAATAGCTAATGAAATGGAACGTGTTTTAATTAAGATAAGAAACCGCTTTTACATATACTTTGAATAATTACAATTTAGTCTGAAAGATATTAAAATGATTCCGTACATCTTTTAATATAAGATTGTTTGCCCATTTCTTTCACTGTTACCTTATATTCAAAGTCTAAACTTCAAACGAAACTATAATTTCTAAAACACGACCATAAAAATCAAAGATTTTATTCCGTTTACATAAAAATATCTGTCCCGGATTCGTCACTCTCTTTCTTTAGTTTTGTTGCATATTTAGCGACGTTTTCTCACCTATGCACGAAATAGGAATGTTAATCACTTCACCGTAACGTTTAGTGAATATTCTTTGAGTCATCCAGTTTTTAAATATTTAAAATTATCCGATATCTTGGCAAATGGACCGGTTTCATTGCTGCATTCCAATTCAGCTTTCGTGATTTATGAGAACACGCAAGCTGATAAATAAAGAAATGCTAAAATGTAAAAAATTGCAGCTTGAGGAAAGCTAGAAACGTTACTCATATTTTCGTGTGTTAGTGTTGTTAAATCAAGAATCATAAACTGGGAGAAACATTACGCGCGCTGGGAAAATAATAAATTTTGTTATCCTGAGTAGATTACCGTACTTTCAACTAGTATTCCTAGGAAAATATAGGCATATTAATTTTAAACTGACCGCTGTTGCCCAAACCATATTCTTGAAACTCGCATTTCATAATTATCCTGTAATTACTTCGTTTGGGGAATTGTTAACATCGCTGCAGTCCAGAAGGGAACACCACAGTTTCTGCTCTCATTAGTTAGTGTGTCAAGGGTCACTACCCCACTCTGCAGCCAATTTTCAGCTCGTTGATGCTTAGATTAGAAGAGAGCTATTCCTTCGGTCTGAATTCCGTCTGATGAACATACATTCACATGTGACGCACTGAACATGCGTCTTGGAAAGGCTAAGTTAGAACAATCCGTTGTTGCCGAGAAGAAAGGAGACCTTCGTTACGATCCGTTGGGATATTTACTTAAAAGCCGGAAGGCAAGAAGGTGTCGGTTGAGTAAACCCAGGAGAGAAAACATCGAAGCAGACCGAGTTCGAAACGAATAGTTTGAGTAATTCACGCATCAGTACGGGTACGTGATTAATGTAATTATATTAATAAGATGATAGAGTGAAAATATATATTTAATTGATTAATCTTGTCCGTCTAATCACAATTTAATTTAAATTTAATTTTAATTTTACACACCTGAAGATGGTTCATCTAAGAACCGAAACATGTAGTGAGAAAGTTATGTTCCAAATGTAAATCGAATGTTTCGATAAGGAGTATCACATGGTATTTTAATTATCTTAATTTTAAATTAAATTGTAATTAGACGGACAAGATTAATTAATTAAATAAGTAATTATATTAGCCAACTACATTCAAGTACATTTTGTAACAACAGTACCTATGAATAATGCCTACTTAATTTAAATCAATTAATGATTATGAGTTGGAATGAAAAAGGGAAATAAACAAGAAAAAAAAACATTTTAAATAGACGCGAAAATGGAACTTGACTTATCTTTGCTTCGAGTACGTAACATTCAAGAAAACATAAAATTCTTGAAAATTATTGTGAAAATGAGAGTGTAAAAGAAAAATATGTTCAGAGATGCAGAGAAGGACTACAAGGGAATAGACATGGAAGAAACCTTACAAAAGCGAGAGAAATTAAATGTCCTTGCATGTCGGAGGACAGAGAATGTAAGCGAAGAAGTGGGAAGAAGACGGAAAGAGAATCCGGGAGAGAGGAGTTTTAAAGCGGACCGCAGAAGTTCGCTTTCCAATTAAATGAAACCATGTTTACATTTGACGCTAGAAATAAATAAATTAATGGACATTACATAAAGATCTACAGAGTAACGTAGACCTTCGGGTACTGCAGGATATGAGGGAGTATGTCGCTTCCAGATTTAAATTACAGCACCTCCAATCACAGCCTGTTTTATCTTTACGCATAATATTATTGAATACTATGTAACATGACTTATGAAATAATAGCACTGTCGGTCTGGTCTATTTGTTTTTAACTTTCAATTCTAAACCTTTCGATATACGTGTTTAAGGAATCAATCATGGTAGTTTAGCTGATATATGCCACTACATTCACGTATGTATATTTTCTGTTTCGTATTGCACAGGCGATTTCTTTATAGCAAAATTCTGCAAGCCATTTCTATTTTAGAATTTTAAAATAATGTTTATATGATTCCAACTTCTTTTCCTACGCATGATTACAAATCTATCTCTCAGTCTACTGTGATGTACTGGAGTATATGCTATTCAGCTAAAGTTTCTACGAGATAAAGTCTACATGAAAATAGCTATAGATTTTATCCGCTTCAAAATGAGAAATCTCGGTTTAAACCCTGTCACATGATGTTTGCACAGAGTTTGCGGTGGATTTTGGGATCCTGCCGATACCAGGAAGAAGTACAATGCTAGAAGACAATAATCCGAATCTTTACAGTACATAATGTCGAACTATATCGTTCAGCAAATCCTTTCCTATAAACTATTGTTCAAAGTTTGTCCTTTCAGGAAGTTGTACAACAAACTGGCGAGATGATTTTTCTTTATTCCTGTCTTTGCTTGAGGGATCAAACTCTTCTTGCCAAGCTGGATGCTAGTTACTGTCCTGCTACATCGTGTTGTATCGACTGCCTTCAAAGACTGCGATGCTGGCACACGGCGTTTATGAAATGTAATCCACGAAAGGGCACATATAATAAATAGTATACCAGTCGTAACATTAAAATTCATTATGTTAAACATCGGAGTGTTACAAACTGAAACAACATCGAAGGTTTTCCATCGGAAAACAGGCAGAGCCAAAACTAGTATTAGAGGGTCCAATAATAAAATAGATATATAAATGTAATTATTTGGCATATGAAGACATCGTAATAATTGTAAAATCAAAATATATATGAATGTCAATAAAATGGGCAATTATGCCGGTAATTCAAAGGCAGTTTTGGAAAAATTTTGATAATAATAATAGGAGAAGGACTTAGGTACTGCAATGTGTTTTCTAAGTTCAGTAACAGAAGTTACATTCCGAGGTGTAAAGAGTGAAGACATTAGAAGTAAATTACGGTTTAATAATAATACAGATTAAATTTCAGACTTCAGAAATAACTGCGTGAGCACGTGTAAAGGAAACGGGAAGAAACATGTTCTAAGATTTCTGAATGGCACAGAAGAATTACAGGCGTGTAATACTATAACTGGCAATAACGAGAAACATAAAACATTTGTTAAAAACACTTGTTAATGTATGCACATGAGACGACAATATTAAGGTGGTTGTTTAGGGAAACAGAGAGTAAATGTTAACAGAAAAATTATTATGAAGAACCAGTGACACTTGTTATTAAGTCAAGATGAATATGAAAGTATAAATGCACACGCAGATGGAGTGTAGAAGGCGAGTAATATATTTAATTAAATACCTTAATTTATGAGCGGCCGGAAGATATATAAGATTTTACATAAAAAATCGTAAAAATGTGAACAAATTATAGGCAACTTTTAAGCAGTGAGACAGTCATATTTACAGAACCAGATGTAAATTTATGATAAATTACAGTGTTATAAAATTTTAGACGTGATTAAGATGTAATATAACGTTAATGCTGTAAGATTTTTAAAATCTCTGAATAAAAATACATACGTACAACAGAAAAATTGTAATAAATACGTAACTGTCCTGGTAAAAAAAGTTAAAAAATCCAATTTGCGTAATAACGAAATTACGGTGCTACAAGGAAACCACATTTGAGATAAGTGAACCGAAAGAATCATAATAAATACAAAAGAACTGTCATGCAGAAACCCTATTAAATTTTCTGCTGTACATTAATCAAGACTGTACTTACAATTCCTCCGCCAACCGCATCGGTGTCCGAATGCCAGGGTTATGGATGGCGTCCTTACATTACTCGTCTGCACAAACTGTAAAAAATTTAAACCGTGACGTTATTATTTAACATACGGGAGATAGCTGACAGAGACCTCTGAATTTCTAAAGCTCGAAAGTTGGAGCAACGAGTTAGAATCCCGTTTGATCCGTGGTTGTCTGTCCGCATGTTCGTTTGATGGAACAAACAACATGAAGATCTGATCCTTAACTCAAATGGTACGGCTTGTCTTTTTAAGGATTTACAAAGCATTTACGACTACTTTTTGTGTTTTATGGGGCTTCATACGGCTATAAAACATGGTTTCTTAGTCCCATATTGGAAGTTAGGTGCTGAGGAAAACATCTACCTAAGAACAATTGGAAACAAAAAAGTTTGAAACGCTGAAGGTGAAACAGATCATCTCTTGTCATAACTTGGTAATTTCGGAGTAACGATATTAATTTAATTAAACTATATTTTTAAGTGTTTGACAACAACAAATAACGTATGACTGTGAAAAATTAATGTGTTCATAAAATGTAAAAAGTTTAAAACAAATAACCAATTTAAACATTTTCTTCATTAATGAAGACGATGATTTTATTAAAAATGTTCATAAATCTGCTTTTGTCATTTGTAATAAAAAGGAATATGTCTTAGTACTCCGTTGAAAGAAGCTGGAATCAGGCTTTTGAATTAGGAAGGAAAGGATAAATTGTAACCTTCTTTCAGAATTGGACCTTCTAAACCTTCGGAATCCTTACACCTCGCCCACGAGGAGTAAAAACTGTATTTCCAGTCGACAGTTACGTGCTTGTTCACAGCATTCGCAACACCTTTTGGTACCAGCTTATGGGATAATCCAGCGGCGTATTACAGTGACAAAACATGCATGTACTCAGCCACAAACCCGGTCACCTTTGTAAGTAAATTTTCAACATGTCGGCAGCAATGCACCATATGTTACCTACCCTTTAGGGCTTCAAATTAACCACGGCAGTGGGAAGTTTTATTCCAAAACTGGTATACACATATATTCTTAATGATTTCATCGGAAATTTTACAAACCTCAGTAACTCTGATGTTACATCACTGCTAATACACATTTATAGCTCGAGAATAAAACTTAATCTCGCCCAAACACCCAAAAGTCAACTGAAATATTTAAGCATATGTGTTAGAAAGACTGTGTATGAAGTTTTTCACAAAACTCAATGCAGGTTTTGACAATAAGATACCTATATTATTAATACATTGCTGGAAATTAATTCACAAACTACATTAATAAAATATTCTTGTTTAGATTTTGTATGCGTGTAATCAAAACTACATTAATAAAATATTCTTGTTTCGATTTTGTGTGCGTGTAATCTTAAAGTAAACCTATGTAACACACAATTATCCACACGGCCTCACCCACTCTCAGTATCAGACACACATATTTGTTAAGCGAAAATGGGTTAAAACTGGAGGTCACAGAAGAGGTGAGACAGGAGTTTCCATACCGACATAGCTTTTACCTGTTGCATTCAAATAACCGCGAGACATTTGATTGTGCTGTGACCTTGGTTTATTTACATAAGTACATTCAACAAGTCTCAAAGGTTTCAAATCTGTATATATACACAAAGGGATAAAAAGAATCTGACATTTTATACTGCTACATTAATAAACAAACTAATATTTAAAATTCTATCGAAATAATTCAGGCTCAAAGACAATTAAAAATAATTTACATTGGTCTCTTCTAATATTTACGTCTTTTAAAAGGGTTAGCTACATGATAAAAATCGAATTCTAAATTTTTCATAATAATAGGAAACTACTAGAGATTCCGGTAAACGTTTTGAGAGACAAAGCGACCAGGATTTATTGAGTTTACTTTCATTGTGCATCTCATGTATTTAACAGCATCCTCATTATAGCAAATCTCTTTACCACTACATAATCGTAGCTCAAAATTGAATCAATTAAGGGCACGTGTAATCATATTACGGTGAGGGCGGGTGTTATTAATATAAGAGGGATATAATCTAGTTTAAGGTGGTGATGCTGACTCGGCTAACAAAGTGTTCGGATAATCAGTTTTGTGTGAGAATAATGAGGGTCGCTCTCTAACAACATTCCCGTGACCTGTCCTAGCGCTAACAGAATGGCATAGCAAAAGGTGCAAATAATCTAACCCTGCAGGCTATTCTCATGTTGGCGTATCACAGTTTAGCAAATTATAATTTGAATTTCAACAACGAGCAGGTAAACGCACTGGTAACGGTTACGATTTCGACTTGTTTCCGGGAGGTACGCCACTTCAAATCCGGCCGGTTAGCTACTAATCAGACTAAGGTTTGCGGTTCCGCAGAACCTCCAGGCGAACGATGGGACAGTCGCTTAAAATATACCACGACCACATCCTGTCGAATCATACTAAGCAACCAGAATGTTACGAAATGTCAAAGAGGGACTGTCGGCCTTAGTAGACTCTTAGACTTAGTAGACTTGGGATTTGTCCGTTCCCTGAACTGGTGTGGGATTTTATTTTCCACAATTAAGGGAAGAAAACAGATTCAGAGTGCCTGAGAAATGTTTATAGAAAAGATTACTTTGACATAAGACGGAAAAAGTGGCAGTAAAGGAGGATTTGATTGGCAGAGCATGTAGAAGATGAGCATTTGTATATATTTTGGTTGGAAAGCCTGAAAGGACGAGACCATTCGAGTAACAACGGCGTTTATGAATGGATAATTTTAGTGATCTTAGGGAAATATATGTGAAGGTGCAGATTCCTTTGGCTCAGGATAGGGACTGTTAAACTCTACGACTCTCTGAGTTACATAAAATCCGCAGAATTTATTAACAATGTGAGCGACTATCAGCTTCTATGAGGACACTTCTTAATGTAGTCAGCTAATGGGTTTGACAGACTAACAGACAAACATTATATCTACGTTGATTTAATTTTTTCTTTGTACAGAGCAGGTATTCTAATTCCCCCGAAGTGTTGAGAAAACCGCGTAAATTTCTAATGTTAATTAAGTAATTTGGTCCTTAATTTTATCTGCACACAATTGATCTCTTTTCTGGCGCTCTGACAGCGCTCGCAGTGCAGTCGCAATAGTAAATCTTGGCCTTAAAACAGAACCCATGTATAGAGAAGTATAGAGCGTTATCCTGGGAATCTGCTTTATCTCATGATAGAGCAGACAGTTCAGAAGTAAAATGTAATTATCTGGCTGTCGCGAAAATAACCACTGTGCTAGCGTTATTTCAGGCAAAACATACATTTTAATTCTGGCCTACGGAAAGGTTCGTTCACATTTAAATTGAAGTCTGAGGTCCGTATGTCGACCAGAACGAAGATGGCTCTCTTCTGAGATGCTGTGTCGAGAGCCGTTTCAAAGGAGCTGGCTCCCCTATCTTGGAAATGATGGGATATGGTCATGACACTCTTAACGCCTATCTTCCGTGACATGCCAAGAGACTAATATTTGCTTTTCCAGATTAAAAAATTCCCTCCCTCCTTCCCTTCCACCCTCCACGTATATAATTTGATAAAACAGAAGACGCTATCTTGTTGTCCCAACTTCCACCTCAATTCTAAACCACACAATTTTAATTACTTTCATTATATAGAAACAAATTCTGTATAAACCTGATAATATATATTCCTAACCTCATTTCTTGTCCATCATGCAGACTGAAATATTAAAGTATTTGCTGTTACACGTTCCAAGGAATTAAGACATGCATAACCTAACAACGTTTACTTCAAAGTGGAGTACGCTCTTTTCGTAATGTATTGTTTGTGACTTTATATACCTAATTGGTTCTTGTGAGTCAGAAGGAATGACAAAGGATTAAATCGCGCGAAACAGTTTCATCAACGGTAAATCTATTCGACTAGTCCCATGCCGGATTTACTTAATAAAATCTTTTGTTAGAAAACCCACAATTTCTATTTGAGATTTGAGATTTTTAATGAAGTGAAAATGTGGTAGCATTGCAGCCTCCAATTGTGGGACACGTTTCACTGTACTGAAACGCCAAATAAATGCAGATTGTATCGATCAGTGTTGTTGACATATCTCTTGAATACTATCGAAAGGTATAATTGGTACTTGGCCGAAATAAACTCACTTATTCATTATTTAACAAGCTGTTGGTAACTCACATGATTAATGAATAAAGAGGTAGAAATAACGTGGAACGAAGCGGATGTGGACTAATTTAAGGCATAACTGCAACATTTTTTAAGCATACCACGAAAAACCCTTCAGGATATCCTTTGCCAGTCCGAAATACGAACCAGGGGCTTACAGATTACGAAGATAAAATTCTGATCACTTGAGTGCTATCTTCGGTAAAACAAAGAACAGATGTAAAATTACTGTCACTTTCCGAATTCATGTAGAAGATTGGCAGAGCTACAATGAGGGCATTCTGCAAAGCCTCTGTACTCTACGCGATTAACTTCGTATTTGGATGCTGGGCTTTCAATGAGAGGTTTGTTAATGACTGAGTGAGCGCTGTGAATTCTCCAGGCACGACGGAAATGTTTACTTGCAGTCGTAATGAGGAAACTGACACCAGTAACAGAGCACCAACTGCGGTGTGGGATCGTAGTAAATACAAAAAGGCGTCAGCGGCGGTTCAATTTTTTCAACTATCACGTGTGGTGACAAGGTATAATGTGCACGCATAATGAAGTTTAAAAAAGGCACGATTAGGCCTTAATAAATACTGTCGCTGAGGTTTTATATATCCACATTAGCATTCAATAAATGACTCCAGAATGTCTAAGATTTAGTCTGAAGCGTTAATAAAAACACCTACAAATAGCATGACGAAAAAATTTAATTCTGGAAATACTTGTCATTTTACAATTAAGGACTTATTATTCCCTCTACTTTCAAGAACGATAACACAAGAGTTGTCAGTTGATACCAATAAATCGATGTATGAATAGATATTTGATATCGACATAATATTGTAATTACTAGGTAGCATAAAATTACGTATGTTTATTCGAAAGGATTGACAAATGATAATTCTGTCCATTAAAAAAATATGGGGAGGCAGTTTAGTTGTTTGTTAAGTAGAGAACTGTGAAGGTTTATGGCGTATGGAACAAAGATAATGTGGCACATAAACGTATGTAATGAGTTAAATTAAAGCACAAACATGTGTCCCTACGCAATATCTTAATTACGAGCTGCAATTAGTAGACTTAGAGGGTTTAGTAAGCTCATGGTATAAATAGCAAAGACTGTATGTTTTGCATGAAAAAATTAAGACTTTTTCCATTCACAACAGTTCCTTGGCTACCAAAACAACTTACCACTGACTAATACAAACAATATTTTTTTCTATTCTGCGTCTATTTAAATTACGATTCGTTCTGTTACCCATAAACTAAAGATTCAATCAGTGAACTTCTGTTAGCGAGAAACATTATTTGTGTTGGCTACATTTCGTGGTGGGATGCTTTCGTAACCGCTAAGCAAAATTATATTTCTCACAGTGCACAAGTGTGGGAGGAGATGTAATTATCAGCAACTGAACTTTATTTAACCAACAACAGGACTTAGAGTGTACAGTCACTGCAGATAACGGATTCGCTAACTGCCACTACACAACGAAACTGAAACGAACAGAAATATCTCTGGAAGCAAACATAGCGAAAATCTTCTCTTTAATCTGTGATTAATGTGCTGCATTTTGATGAGGCTTCACATTTGACGGTTACTTGGCAAACAGTCATATGAGTTGTATTTTACCAGAAATCCCCGATAAATCCATTAGCAAATTTACTATATTAGAGTCTAAATTTTAGTGAAAATTAAAGACTGTGTCTCCGAAGAAACTGCCAAGGAAAATATATGACCTTCTAAAATAAAAATAAAATGTGTGTAGAGAACAATATATGAAGAATACATTTACTGATTCTACTCTCCGTCAGTGATTGGTGATTAAATAACAACGATGGTGGAAGACATGAGAAATTCATAAAACATTTTTATGGAAATATATTAACAGAAGGGACTATTTGGAAGACGAAGGAATAGATTAGAAGATAATATTAAAAGGGACATCAAGGTTGAGACTGCGTACCTTCACGTTTGTGCCCCATATTCCTCTGAATGAATTGCTGATTACTTTGTAATTTATAATTTTAAAGCAGAGCGTAACTTATTTCAAAATCACGTGTCCATTGCTTCAAGTTAGTTTTCTTGTTTCACGTCTTGTTCGGAGCTCCAAGTGAATGGAGGCCTGGGTGACAGTGATCAATAGTGTAATTACACACAGCACTACTCGCTTCGCAGACACGCAAACACCTACCAAGACAACCCACGTCCTGCAGTCTACTTAAAGAGAAATGAATTTATTTAATTGAAACAAGTCAGAAATCGCTTGACGGTGTCAAAGAGTTTGTGGTGTCGCCTGATATAACAAGACGTATAATATTTCAGTAGAGATTCTAAAATAGAATGTTTGATGGTGCCTTCTCACCACTGAGGCCTGAGTTCGGCTTTAGGGTATTCTGTTTCGAAAAGTAGGAGGACCAAACGACATGAGGCAGTTATTTTCTTCAAACAACTATAAAGGGCAACATCTTCCTTGAACTCTAAGCACTTGCCCAGGTGATCAAGGAATGTAATATATTTATATAGAAATAATATTATTTACAGTATTCATAAAAGCCAACCACTGGCAGATATGCTGTGTCATTTATAACATGAACATTCGTTCATGATATTCTCATCTCAGTCGTCGATATATAATCTCTGCAACGTAGTTAAATATCCTAATAATCAACCCATATTCATATAAAGCGAAACCACATTTAACAAAATCTAAATCAGTTTGAACTGAACGGGGACGCACACTTTAGACAATGTACGTAAATACAGGCCTGCTCACAGGCATAATATAAGTCTTGTTGTTAAGGGGTTTTGAGCCTTTATTTATGACAGTGTATTCCCTACTTTAGGTTTTCCCGTCAATTTTTACGGACAATTTACTATGTAAGAAGCTGAAACAAAGTCGAATACAAGTCCTGAAAATGAGTCAGTTTCGATTTATTGCCTTACTTTTGCAAGTTGAACGTAATCCACCCCATTCAATAATTTAACAACCTCGAAATATATTCGTGTAGTAAATTTTTTGCCATTCTTTGGTGAAGGTAAATTTCGTCGTTCTCTACATGAAGTTCTTGAACATATTTCTTTCGAAACAATATTTTATGAAGAACTTAGTTTTTTAACTACAGGAAATTAACTGTTTTTTTCTGTTTACTGTGATTGCAGGAAGCTATGTTGGGTCTACAGTCGAGTTTGGGGTCCCTAAAGATGACCCTCTTCAGTGTACTGCTACTGCATCTTACTGTATTGGTCCTTGGCACAGCATCAGCGCCTTCTGAGACGCACGAGACTGCTGAAGAATCATCGCCCGTTTCAGCCGGTGGTATGGGACTAGTGCCTCAACTTGAAGACTCATCATCGGCCGAAAACGCCGAATTGGATTTCGTCAAACGACTTTATGACTTCGGTCTCGGGAAACGAGCCTACAGCTACGTGTCCGAATACAAGAGACTACCTGTTTATAACTTTGGCCTGGGCAAGAGAAGTAAGATGTACAGCTTTGGGCTGGGGAAGCGGTCGGGGACTGAAGGTAGGCTGTATTCTTTCGGCCTCGGTAAACGGGACTACGACGATTACGCTGAAGAGAATGAAGACGAAGATCAAACGAACGGAGATGAGGAGTTTGAAGACTCTGATCTGGATCTTATGGAGAAACGTGAGAGGCTTTATTCATTTGGTTTAGGAAAGAGAGCAAGACCTTACAGTTTCGGACTTGGAAAGCGAAGCCCTTCTTCAGGTATTCAGCGACTCTATGGGTTTGGTCTTGGCAAGAGGGGAGGTTCTTTGTACAGTTTTGGACTCGGCAAACGTGCTGATGGCCGACTATATTCTTTCGGACTAGGGAAGAGACCTGTCAATTCTGGTAGACAATCTGGGAGTCGTTTCAATTTTGGCCTTGGAAAAAGATCTGACATAGATTATAATGAATTTGATGACGAACTTGGGGAGGAAGCAAAGGGATTTCCCCAAGGACATAGATATTACCTTGGGCTGGGAAAACGAGAGGTGGCTCCCAGTGAACTAGATGCCATCAGGAATGAAGAACGAGAAAAGATAAATTATCGGGATGAAAGCAGGAAGAACGAGACTGCTGAAGGACACCACTCTGGCGAAAGAGTGAAAAGAAGTCTTCACTACGCTTTCGGCCTCGGCAAACGAGCGTACGATCTGGAATCATCCACAATTGACACCGATGAGGATGACGAGGCACGTAATGATTTTGCGAGACTCATCCGTCGACCCTTCAACTTTGGCCTCGGTAAACGGATTCCGCTCTACGATTTCGGCATAGGAAAACGGTCGGAGCGTTAGAATTTGACTCTATTCCTCCCGCCCTCCCCCATCAGTCCAAACATCAGCTGATAATTTCCTCCTCCTTCCATGTCTCTTTCAATATAATTACTGACTCTAAGTGTACAGAAAATAAACAAGTATAATGCTTTCAAAACCTACAACTCGAAAGCGTTTATGCAATTCGCCATCAAGAGTGAAATTGTTCCAGTCACTCTGAACAGGCCAAATACCTAATTATTTATTTTTTTGTTATATAATTAAATGCAATTGTAAGTAATGGTATAAGAAATTTGTGTTACCTTCTTAATGTATCCCTGAGTGTGCAATATACCACGATTTACTCTGTTGTTTAAATGCTAGGATACAAAGTTAACAGACCGATACGAGGTGATTCTCATCAACCAGTTTAATTAAGGAGCTTTGAAAAACCCCCAAAAGGAAGATGACAGTACATGAGAAAATTTTAGAATACATTGATTACAACGGGATGTCACAAATTTAAAATGTAATAAATTAAATTTTATTTTATTCTGTGCAGTTTACTTCCGTGCACATGAAACGAATTGCATATTCTACAAAGACTAAAACTTAGGCACGCCACAGAGTTCGTAAAGTCGACGGGGACTGTGCATCTTCTCACGCTGCAACTTATTGGACTCGTCTTCCGAACACTGTGGAATTTGGTAACTTTATTTATCACTGTGATTTAATGTCCATTAAACATTTGTTTACGATTTGCATGTCCTTATATGATGAGCCTACAGCTACGTGTCCGAATACAAGAGACTACCTGTTTATAACTTTGGCCTGGGCAAGAGAAGTAAGATGTACAGCTTTGGGCTGGGGAAGCGGTCGGGGACTGAAGGTAGGCTGTATTCTTTCGGCCTCGGTAAACGGGACTACGACGATTACGCTGAAGAGAATGAAGACGAAGATCAAACGAACGGAGATGAGGAGTTTGAAGACTCTGATCTGGATCTTATGGAGAAACGTGAGAGGCTTTATTCATTTGGTTTAGGAAAGAGAGCAAGACCTTACAGTTTCGGACTTGGAAAGCGAAGCCCTTCTTCAGGTATTCAGCGACTCTATGGGTTTGGTCTTGGCAAGAGGGGAGGTTCTTTGTACAGTTTTGGACTCGGCAAACGTGCTGATGGCCGACTATATTCTTTCGGACTAGGGAAGAGACCTGTCAATTCTGGTAGACAATCTGGGAGTCGTTTCAATTTTGGCCTTGGAAAAAGATCTGACATAGATTATAATGAATTTGATGACGAACTTGGGGAGGAAGCAAAGGGATTTCCCCAAGGACATAGATATTACCTTGGGCTGGGAAAACGAGAGGTGGCTCCCAGTGAACTAGATGCCATCAGGAATGAAGAACGAGAAAAGATAAATTATCGGGATGAAAGCAGGAAGAACGAGACTGCTGAAGGACACCACTCTGGCGAAAGAGTGAAAAGAAGTCTTCACTACGCTTTCGGCCTCGGCAAACGAGCGTACGATCTGGAATCATCCACAATTGACACCGATGAGGATGACGAGGCACGTAATGATTTTGCGAGACTCATCCGTCGACCCTTCAACTTTGGCCTCGGTAAACGGATTCCGCTCTACGATTTCGGCATAGGAAAACGGTCGGAGCGTTAGAATTTGACTCTATTCCTCCCGCCCTCCCCCATCAGTCCAAACATCAGCTGATAATTTCCTCCTCCTTCCATGTCTCTTTCAATATAATTACTGACTCTAAGTGTACAGAAAATAAACAAGTATAATGCTTTCAAAACCTACAACTCGAAAGCGTTTATGCAATTCGCCATCAAGAGTGAAATTGTTCCAGTCACTCTGAACAGGCCAAATACCTAATTATTTATTTTTTTGTTATATAATTAAATGCAATTGTAAGTAATGGTATAAGAAATTTGTGTTACCTTCTTAATGTATCCCTGAGTGTGCAATATACCACGATTTACTCTGTTGTTTAAATGCTAGGATACAAAGTTAACAGACCGATACGAGGTGATTCTCATCAACCAGTTTAATTAAGGAGCTTTGAAAAACCCCCAAAAGGAAGATGACAGTACATGAGAAAATTTTAGAATACATTGATTACAACGGGATGTCACAAATTTAAAATGTAATAAATTAAATTTTATTTTATTCTGTGCAGTTTACTTCCGTGCACATGAAACGAATTGCATATTCTACAAAGACTAAAACTTAGGCACGCCACAGAGTTCGTAAAGTCGACGGGGACTGTGCATCTTCTCACGCTGCAACTTATTGGACTCGTCTTCCGAACACTGTGGAATTTGGTAACTTTATTTATCACTGTGATTTAATGTCCATTAAACATTTGTTTACGATTTGCATGTCCTTATATGATCAGTATAAATTCCCCCCTCCCCCCCCCGAAGTCCGGCAGTTCTGACACAGAAGAGAAATTCTTTTCCTTCAAACTTTTGATGTTTTAAAATAAAATTGGTCACAATTCACAAATTAAGAAACTGGACTGGCATTTTTCAAACGTAGTTTATATTACAGTCACTTCAATCAGATGTGAACTGAAATATTGCTCGTTCCTTAAGAGAGAATCTGCATAAAGAATCAGGGATCACACGACTGGGTGTGTATGAAATCCGCAATAACCAACAATCAGAACATCTACGAATATTACTCTTCAGATATTTAAACGTTCTCTTAAAATTGGCTGTTCTGCGGTATCTGAATTATGTTTACTTTATTTTTAAGTTAGATTTAAGAATTGAAATGTAATAACAGTTTTTACGAATAATTAGCAATGAAATGAATCATTAAATTACATTTTGTAATGAAGACGACTGATGCACTTCAAAGATGAACAAACGTGTATGTATATATAGTATAAGATAGGAATAAAAGTTATGTAGTAATTGAGAGACCAAGTGTGTCTGATTCACGACACCTAATGTTTTAATGAATAGATGTCTCACCGCGCCGGTCTAATCAGTTCCAAATCATTTCTTCTTCTACAGATCAATACACAGTGTGATGTCATGGATTTCTGCCTGATTCGAGTGGGCTAATAGCTTGACAAGTGGACGAACATATAGCATTAATATCAAAAGGCCTAATTAGAAAAACGGGATTTGTGAATTGTTACGCTGCAAATGATATATATTTTGATTTGACGTTATTATTTATGTTTTTTAAACAGCTATAATTTGGTAAATAAAAATGAGTTAAAAATAATATCCTTGATGGAAATATCTTAATTTTAATAACGTTGAAATTAAAGTAATGACATCTGTAAAATGTAGAATAATGGAAACGCTGTAATTTGTCCAACTTTTCTGAAGAAAGAACAAACAAAAATGACTACAGAATTGACACACTTATGATTAATAATGCAATTTAGCTTAAAATTCTCGTGTACGTTTCCACGTGTATGGAAATACAATGCCATCTGTGATTGACCAAATTAATACAAAAGACATAGCGCAGTGAATATCTGAATAATAACGCTGAGCCTACTATTGAAAGAACATGTAATAAAAATACTCTGTATCCATGGCAGCACTAAACAGCTGAATCATTAAAGTGAATACAAACGCTTTCAAGAAACAACTGAGACACGATACAGTATGGTATAAATTTCATTATGTACCTTAAATGTGTATATTAAATTAATGTAATATATAATTTTAAAAATATATTGGAACAAACCTAAAGTATGTTTAATAAAGAATCTATGTTTTGTGCAAGCTTGTCTGAGTAGTGGTAGAATCAAAGGTCGCACTTCGGAATGTGTGAATGAAATTGACTTATTCTTTTTGAAATTATTTTAAATTATTGTGCTTGGAATTGTTACCAGAATATAATATTGGATATAAATATTATGGTGTTTGTAAAAGAGGTTCCCAGTGGAACACGGAAGAAAACCTTTATCCAGAAAACAGGGCAATAATAACTTATTCAAGCATGTCTTCTATGAGCCATGCTATTCTTTTTATTACGTCAACAACTCAAACGTCTCTGATACAACAATAAACTGCAGTACAGAGTGAGTAACTGACAGCTATGGCATATATTGAGGTATTATCACGGTATTCATTTGAAGAGGCGGAAAGATTAAACTCAAGATTCAAGCACCTATTATTATTTTATTTAGTGTTCTGTCTGACGACAGGTCCATATGAACAGGATCCTTCCATCCTTTTCTCGGACTGGGACCTGTTCATATACGTTCTTGGCAGATGATCCAGAAGTGGTTTGCCATTGCCTTCTTCTGTGTGTGAATGGAGTAATTGTTGGGATGCCACGGAGAAACCGGGGAAGCCCCCGGAGGAAAACTCCGTGTTGCCTAGACCACGGCCTTGCCCAACACAAGTTATAAATTCGGGCACCGCCGGGAATCGAACCCGAGCCCCCCAGGATTACAAGGCCAGCGTTCTAACCGCTAGACCACCGTGGCGGTTTAAGCACCTAAGGAATATAAATTTAGATCGATGCTGCTATGTACTGGGTTATAATAAGTTATAATTAATTTTACTTGATTCATTAATTTTTTATTTTGAAAGAAAAAAAGAATTTTTGAAGCGTATTTAAAAGCATTAATAAACAATGCAACGATAAATCAACAGATACAACACTCACGACCAACGAAAATATAAAATATTATCTTCTAAGTGACTTCAGTTAAATGCGCTGTTAATGCAATGCAATGTTAAAGGTACACGAAGAAAAGAACTTAAACTTATTCTGTACGAGAAAATGTTTGAGTAAGTTCTTATAATATCAACCGAAAATCTAAAACCTCACGTACTGCATGCCATATGAAACTACAAAGCCTACTTCAGACACATTATATATTCACATTATTGCTTTAGGAGCCGGGATTTATAACAGGTGTGGTTACACATATAAAAAATTGAAGCTGAACATTCAGCCTGGACTATGGCAGTGAAGGAGACGTTAATGTGATTTTAATGTGTTCACACACACACACACACACAATTTTACACAGAAAGCATGAAGACAAGAAATCACTTAGAACAATAGGTTTATATAGGAGGACAACAAACAGACAAAAACACACCAGAAATACGATATGAAGTGGTTTAACGTAGGAGCCAATGGCAGAATATTCTAAACATGGCAATGAAAAGTCCTGCATACATAAATGCGGGAGAATTTTTGATCAATTTAGAAATGTCAATTTATCAAAAGAAACCCGTAATTTACTTCCATGTAATTTGCTGTATTGTTGAGAACATGTTATTGAATCAGCACGTGCTAAATTAGTAATTTCCTAAGGGAGAAATTCATTACTAAGAAAGCCATTCGGTAATGAGCAATGCGACAATCTAACTTCTCTTCGTTAAATAAACTATAAAATAAAGAAATTAAATTTCTCCACGAGATCCTGTACACAAGTCTTCAGAACACATGGTAACAGATCTACATTAATATTATCCTATGATTCACTACTTCAACTTCCAAGTCGTCTCTCACTTTACGGTATTTAACTTTTATTTTTTTTATTTTTAAGTCCTAGTGGTCTTTAAGTGGGTTGATCTTCACTAGAACTCCTGAAACACAGTCTGTTTTACAGAAACTACTTTGGGACATTCATGGTTTGGATTATCTACTTGCCTGGATAATCGAACTGTATCGAAATCTTATAAATGCATTAGACAGTAAATTACACCAAGTAATTAGAAACGGCACAGTCGTGTTATCGATTTGTTCTGCCTACAGAGCACCAACGTAATTTAACTAACCAGTAACCAGCCGTCACTCTCAGGGATCTTATGATTCGATTTCCTGTCATGAACCCGGTCCCTTACATTAGAATTTCCATTACATTTATCCTTTCTTCCCGGAAAATTCAAGATTCATTTAAGATACAATGACGAATTTTTCCAACGTTCCTGGTAGCGCATTCAGAACAGTGAATGCACAATAGGCTGAATAACCAGGTTACATTAACTAACTAACTAGATGGCTTACCGAACCCGAAGGTTCATCACCGAATTAACCAAAGCCCTCCACCGGACCCTGTCCTGGGCCAACAAAATCCAGTCTCCTTCAACTCCTATCCCCCATAGATCCCGCCTGACATTATCCTCCCATCTACGTCTAGGTCTCCCCAGCGGTCTCTTCCCTTCAGGTTTCCCAACCAGTACCCGGTGCACACCTCTTGTCCCATCCATGCGCGCTACATGCCCCGCCCATCTCATTCTTCTCGACTTAATCACCCTGACAATACTGGGGGAGCAGTACAGATTTTTAAGCTCGTCATTATGCAGTTTTCTCCACGCCCCATCGTCTTCTCTCCTAGGCCTAAATATCCTCCTCAGCACCCTGTTCTCAAACACTTGTAATCTGTGTTCCTCCCTCTGAGTGAGAGGGACTGTCAGATCACCCAGCCCCATTTCCAATGGGGACCGGAGGCTTTTTCCCAGCGGACGAAGTGAGAAGACGATCATTCACTTCCATCTAGTGTAGAGGTAAAAATGTGTGGAGATCTATCTCCACTCCCCGATTTATCCTAATGACCTTGTGCCTAGTAAGTACCAGGACAAGTTGATTCTACCTAACACAGCCCTTTCTGCGTACTATTTATTACGTCCAGACAACGGACTATCAAACAAAGCTTTAAAAAGTTGACACAAAATGTCACGCGCCCTTGTTAGAATACTCCACAGTCTCAATAAGCTAATATGGATAAGTCTACACTGCAAAATTTTATTTTTCCTTTGTTTTCTGCACAAGGACATGACGGACAGGTTTAAAACCAATTTAATATACGTGATTGTCCACTCCATATTTTGTCATGAGACGAGTTTCTAGAGCTCCTTTCGACTGAAAATCAAACGTCGTTAAAAATAATGCTCTGGGGTAGGTAATGGTTCTAAGCTCACAAGTAGACAACACTTATGTCGAAAAGACTACATGCTGCAGAAACACTCGACAAATAAATATCCGTCTTCAGCCCGAGACTTCCTTTACTTTTCTCTAAGAAAGGCAAGTGCAGACCTTCGGATCTTAGGGGCCATATTCAGAGATGAAAAAGAAATAAAGAAGAGACACTAAAGCATGTCAGAACACTCAGATCATTTATGAAGAAAACAGTTACCGGCACAGTATTATACTGTCAGTTATTTTACAATTCGACAAAAATTCTAAAAAAAATCGCTTTACAGTACTATGGAAAAAACTTCGCTCCACAAAATATCCTGGCCGAGTGGCCGCCATTCCCGTTTCGTATTCGGGAGACTTAGAACTCGCCCCTCAAATTAGATATAGTGACTCAAGTCTTTTGTCCTTTTCTTCAATCCTTCCATCTAACTGCCGGAACAGTGCCTTAAATTAGGGCAAGGAAGCTTCTCTTCATACTTTTTTCATTCTACGTTTGTTACTCATCTTCTCTTTGGCCCCATATAGTCTGAGCTACAGACATCGCCTTAAAATAAACTATAAATAAATAAATACATTAATCGCAACTTTATAGTTCTTTGTGCCCAGTAGAAAATTGTTCTATGGCATTACATCCAAAAGAGAGCACACTAAAAAGATGTTTTCTAATAAATCTAAATACATAAATAAAACGCGTTAAAACAA